TCACTGATTGCCACAGCGTAATCGCATGACGTCACAGAGCCGGAGAACTCGGAACTCTACTGTACATGACTCTCATCAAGGTACCAATATGGAATTTTGGTCAGAAATCCATTCCAAATGTGTAACTAAGTCTCTACTCACTAAGCCTCTCCCCAACAGCAACTGAAGCAGCTATAACTTACTGGGGGAGCCACTTCCACTTGATTCCAACACCTTGCCAGGTAGCTTTGACAGTACTTCCAAGGCCAGAGCCGGGCAACCAGCTTTGAAATGTGCATGAGCAGTAGTGAAGTATAGTTGCCTCTCTAGTGGAGTAATGGAGTCCTCTAGCATCAGCTGTGCATCAAAAAGAAAACATGAATTGCTTTGGTTATATTACTCATGCTACCCTTCCAGAAGATAAACAACCCACCTGCTTATCTGATGCCCGTGCATCTGAACCATAACTAAACCCAGCCAAAACAAGTGATGGCCCTGTGCGCCGTCCCTGAGCTGTAGTTGCAATGTACTGTCTCACCAGTAAGGGGTGAGTTCGCAGATACACATAGAAGTTGAAAACATTTGGATTTGCTGCACAATGGAAGAGAGTAATTAAGTAGAGTTATTTCATAAGCAACTTCATAAGCATAAAACTAAAAACAAAACTAATTAATCAGTTACTAATTATCACTTTAAATTAAAAATACGAAGAGTGAACTAAAATTTAGGTTAGATATAACAAATACAATAACAATAATAACAGTAGTAACAGTAATAATAATAATAACAATAATAATAATAATAACAATAATAACAACAAATACAATAGTAATAATAATTACTAGTTTCGTAACTATTTTCATTATCTTATATATGCAGAAAACCACACACAATGATATAATAACTTCAGATCACAATATGCAAACATTAATATATCACAATTAGTAGTAGTATGAAACTCTAATCACTTCTATTGGTTGAATCCTTCCACTCGTAAAGCATCCCAAAGATCATATTTCAAAAGATTCTCAGAACTTATAGATCGATTTTACTTTATGTGCTGCATCTCTTAAATGCAAAATCCAAATAGTGCTGTGGCTCAGATCTACATCTGCTTACAGCCAGTCTGGTCAGTAATCTCGATTACACTTTATGAAAACTACTACTTGCATTCTTTTTTTTTTTCTCCTTTCTACCATGTTAATGATAAAACATAGCCTCAGACAAAACATTCACCCAGACACATTACATATTACTACACATTTAATCAACTGACACTTACTGGTTTCAAAAGTATGAATTTTTTTCAGCGTCTTTCTACGACTACAAAATTAAAGGTAGAGGATTTGTCTTCAAATTAAATTTGTTGTCCATAGTGAGTTCTTTCATTAAGGTCATGTACATTTTTTTGCAACTTTTAGTATTTTTCATGCAATATAGAGTGCAATATTTGAATTTTAAAAAATTACAAAAACTAAGATTTTCTCAAAACAGCCTGAAATATTTTCTTTAAACTTTTGGTAGAGATAGGGCAAAATGTACCCTATAAGAAACACCATATGGCTCTATTCTTTTGTTTTCTTTCAAAATCTCTAAAATTTAATTTTTTTGATTTGTCTCCTGTCATTAATATTATACTTATGAGTGTATACATATGCTTTAAATAATATCAGATAAAGTTTCTCGAAAACTTAACGATTCTCTGTGAAAATTAGCTTAAAGTTCCTCAGTTTCAGAAACGCTCAAACACAACTTTCTCCAAATGTTTTTTCAAACTTTTTAAACAGATAGTGCTATTGCACTCTCCAATATGATGTAAAATTCATTTCAGGGTATTTTTTTTTATTTTACTAAAATTACACAAACATAATATTTTTGAAAGATCTCTCACGGCGGTAATATGCAAGTTTCCAGCTATTTGTAAACATTAAAGTATTTGTGAGAGAAAGTACATGAGAACGTACAGAACGAAAAATTGAATAAATATATCCCCCACTGAACTCTATAAAACATGTTAGAGAAGTTACATTCATTTCATACAAAGCAGCTAAAGAAGTTACATTTACATTCATATTACATTTCAACGATTTCGCATTCTTGGGGTGAAAAGATTAAAAGCACACTCCCAGGTGCGTACGTGGGTATTCAGGTTTTGAAAATAAATGACTGTAATCACTGTCTGAGTTATAACCCAAATTACTTTTAGGATCATCAAATAACAAATCACAACACTTCTCATATTAATCTCGTATCATCTTTCAAAATTTGTTGAATGTTCTTGCTCTGTATACAATTTACCTCAAAAAAAAAAATTTTACTCCATTTTACCCCAAAAGAAAAATTAAAAAATAAATAACATTTCAAATCATTGTTGCATCAACTGATCTCAAAAAAATCTCATTACATAATTATCTGATATATGCCTAATAAGTTCTAAGGAGAATCTTATGTCATCTGAGGGATTGCCTTTGCAATTATCATTCCCACCACTGTTTGCAGAACATGAGACAGAGTCCATACTGGTTTTGGCATCCTGCAGATGTCTTTTAGCACAGGACAAAATTATAACAAACAAATGCTGAGCTCAAAGGGTCAAAATCTTTTCATTGTATCAATAGTCATACTCACCAGATGTTGCTTCTGGTTTATCTTCATCATTGTACTGGGGGTGTGCACAACCAACATTTGTCTGGAGCAGTGTGTTGAGGCTACCAGAATAATCCTTTAAAATCCACAGAGCCATGGAGCGCAAAAATGGGTCAGGGTGAGCTCGGTCTTGTTGCTGATTATTACCTTCTGCATCACATCCCAAAATTTCCTGAAATATTGTATTCCAACAATGAATTACAATAACCTAGACAAAATGTATAAATGATTGGAAGGACAACACTTTCAAATTCACCTCCCAAAGCAATCGCCGCAAACTAGGTGGAGTGGGATCTCTTTCTCCTTCATACAAGCGTGCAATTACCATCGCTAGCTGAATGTCTTCAAGCTTATTCAGGCACACCTAAAAGAGAAAGTACAGTTAATGCAAGAACATTTTTACTATCTGGAATATGAGTCATTCCCCGTAAAATTGCACACTGCAAAACAGCGACTTGCGACATTATTTAGCGACTTGAAACTGTTTTTTTTTTTAAGTTCTAGTGTTGACAATAATTGTAATAATAAAATTATTTAAAAATTTTTAAAAATTGTAACAAAATTGAACTTCAAATACAAGTGATTATACAAAATATACATATAATTTGTATCATGCTGAGGACACAGTCTTGTGTGCGAGACCTGATAGCACAGAATTTACAATTTTCTCATAAAACAATAACACGTTTAAAATAAACAAGAATAAAAAGTATCAAATTTAAAATATAAAATGTATGAAAAGTAACAAATTTTTACATTTAACAATGCATAACTTACGTTAAATTATATAATGAGTTGGATTTAAATAAAGGGTCTGTATAGGGTCTTTTTGGAGTCATTCAGATTTACAAACCATTGTCTTAACAATCCCTTCTAGAGTTCATATTTTCTCCCTAGTTCACAACTTAACAGGTTCAATAAGGCGGTACAATTATAGGTATCCTTTTAACATTTCGGTTTTCACGCAAATCATGCAGATACTATGACTGATTTTTCTAGGAAAATTTTTCTTATAGAAATGTTATTTTTCCTAAACAATTCTTCCGAGGTATAATACCTACTTCTTTATTTTATTACTTTAACAATGGATCTTTTGTTGAAGTTTGAATGCATTTTTGAAGGCCCCTCCTGAAGCAATTATACTATATGTAGTTATCGACCAAAAGAACGCATAACATATCATAAGCAAACTTTTTAATTTGCTTATGATATGTTAATTAAAAACAGCAAGTAGAAATTTCTATTGTATTTAATTTCTCAGAATCATCTCGGTGTCCCACATTGTAACTTACCACACTTATGTACAACTTTTCAGAGATTACAATAGTATTTTTTCAAATTTTAATCTATTTTAGGAAGAAATTTAAAAAATAAAAATAAAATAGGTCAAAAAATATTAATTAATTCGTCATGCATCAAATGAAGGAGCATCTTCTGTTCCTTAATATTCCCAAATATTAAATTTATGTCCCAATTACAACAGAAGATAAAAATGATTAACTTTAGCAATCCAAGCATTTTTTCAAAAATTTTGATAATTAATGTAATATTCAAAAATTATATTATGGAAAAATTAAAGAACACATGTTTCACATTTTTGCTTACACTCTTCACAGAAAAAAGTTTAATAATCTGAAACATCAAGGTCAAATTTTCTTTAAATTTGTACGATTCAACATGGAATGACCCACATGCTCTTTTTTCCTTTTAATACCATAATAAGAAGTGACAGGTCATGGTGCTGTTGCAGGAACAAGCTTTCCCATGTACAGTAAAACTTCACTTGTACGTTTTTCAGGGAACTAAAAAATGTATACTTGAGAAAGATGCATAACAAATTGAAATATTATTAGCAAAATAGAAACTCAATATTTTTACACTACCATTTTATTAGAAAAGATATTACCAGAAAAGAAGAAATCAATATGCAGTTTAGAAAATTACTAATAAAAAAAGTCTGTTATCTAAGTGTATTTAACATTATGATTCACCTACAGGTACAGTAGTGCACAAAACATATTTCAAGATTAGATATTAGTCGTCAAATTGCTATAGTTTTATCTCTGAAGTCTTAAAATTAACTATAAATTTGTATGCTATGTTTTTATTTAAAATGTTATAATTAAATTTCATTGTGTGATTAAATTTCTAAAAATGTCACAAACATAGATCTCTCGGAAATTAAATTTATCCAGTCTCAAGTTCCCTTCCCAGAGCAACTGAAATTTTTTTGAATTCCTGCTGCTGGAAATGGCACGAAACTGACTTAGCGTTAAAACCCCTGTGGGCTCACACAGTCTTGGCCCCTCCGCTACGCCAAGACCAGCTTCTATATTACAAGTTTCATTAACGGGAAGTTGCCTCAGAGGCCGAGGGTTCACTCCGCGGGTTCGCTCTGGCGCATGCTGACTAGAGTTCAGGCATTCAGCGCAGGTCGCCCCGCACTTCACCCATCACCTCTGTGGGTACGTTTGAACATTGTACGGTTTCAAAGAGACTTTCATTATGAACATGTAAGTGTGAAACACTTATAAATGTCAAATACATATATGAAATAATAAATAAAAAATAAATAAAAAAAAAGAATAACGTGAAAAACATACAAGTGTGAAACGTATAATTCACTACACTTGCACTCATGTGAGTGCAAAGAATAGGAGCCACTACTCTGATCAGCCACCTCAAGAAGGTCCAATGTTTGTCAGTGGCTTTTGGATGTATGAACATTAATTTCATGTGAACTGGTCACAAAAAATTTTTAAGTGCGTGGCATTTCAAATAAGACAGGTGGGCGCAAGGCAAGCGACTGAAAGTGACAATGGATCAGGAAGAATCCGGGTGAATCCGAGAGCGATGCAAGTGATTAAATTTAACTTCAATATATATACCATGCACATTTGTGAAAAATAAACATTATTTTCAGCATAAAATTTTGATATCTTCCAATGATTTTTCTTTTTTTTTTTTTTAAGAAAAATGTGTATGTCACACCTCCACTTCATAAGTTACTTTTGGGATTTTTGGGATGGAATTTTCTACCTTGTCAACCCACAGTCAGTGTATCATTTTGGAAGTCTACCACTCTCAAGAAATAGTACCTCAATTGCATCCCTCAGAGCACCAGCCAGGAGAAAAAAGGCAGCAGCATGCTCGAACCGTTGCTTTCCCAGTAGGGCAAAAGCATTCTTCAAGGCAGCCTTTCTCCAGCGGTCCTCATTGAAGTTGTTGGAAAAGAAAGAAGTCATTCGCTCATCTCGCTTTGAACGGAATAGACCCCACACTAAACTCTTCTTCTTCATAGCTAGGTAAAATATTGCTGCATCCAATGGGTCTTGTCGAACCATGTAGGATGCTTTTGCTATCTGAAAATACAGTACAATCACTGGAAATTACATTCGGAAGTACAAGAAAGTCATTTTAGAGACAATTAAGTAAGTGTAAATTAACTCATTTTCAAATAACGAATTTTCCAGTCATAGTCATTATTTTCTAGTCATCACTCGTTGCTTTCTAGACATACTTTCTTTAACTAGAATTCAACCTTTTATAATAACCAAAAGGTGAAGCAAAAAGTACCTTCTCAATACAAGTCTTCAGAAGAGTGTGAGAGCGCAACCACCAGCCAACACCCAATTCCTTCACTTGAGCCCACTTAGGGGAGCCTTTGGCATATGACGGGATGAGAGCAAGCAACTCCTCCTCACTCTCAGAGTGAAATGCCCACACTAGGTTGTTGGTACCAACACCCTGGCGCTGGAAATGTGCTCGTTGAGCCAAGGGTAGGCAACGCAGTAGGTAGCTGTAATGCTTCATGGCCAGAAGGTACCGGAGCCCACAGTCATCTAAAGAATCTGTAACAAAGGCAACACACATGAAAAGAATATAGAAAGGTTTACTAAGGTGTTCAGTTTAGAGAGAGGGTCTCATTTTATAATATACATTTAGTTTACCGCTCTTAATATATACTAACTTCTATTTATTTATTTATTAAGGGCGGTAAACTCTGACACCTAATGACTGATCTTCATGAAAGTTGGCACATCTACACTTTTTTTTCACCCAAACAGTTTATGTGCAGTTAATTTTGTTGTAACTCTACTAGATGGCTCTGAAGAACAACATTGCGTTTCATTTTAATTGAATTTCCATTCAAATTGCACTCCACCTGGGTTTCATTGTTACAGAGCGTTGCCATATGAAGCAGGCCAAGGTCTAGAAGGTCAGAAAGAGACACATCGAAAGACAGAGGGACAAAGAGATTCAAAAGAGATAGAGAGATTGAGATAGAGGGACAGAGACAAAGTTGAAAAGATGGATACAAAGAGAGAGGAGAGGAGAGAGAGAGGAGAGAGAGAGGAGAGAGAGGAGAGAGAGAGGAGAGAGAGGAGAGAGAGGAGAGAGAGAGAGGAGAGAGAGGAGAGAGAGACAGACATGAAATAGACAGGAGAGAGACGGGAGAGACAGGAGAGAGAGAAACAGGAGAGATACAGACACGTGAAAGAGAGGAGAGAGGGAAAAAAAGGAAAAAAGAGAGGGAAGAAAAAAGAGGGAGGCGAACGGCAGAACAACTGCTGGGTTCCGCTAGGATATTTGTAAATATGATGAAGTTACTGAGATACGCTCTTATTTAAATTTGGGACGTTTAAGTTTTTTTTCAAATTTACTTATTTTAAAATATTCTAAATTACATTTCTCGGTTGGACATTAAAAATTAGTTATGGAAACTGGCAAAGTTGTAAGCCTTAAACATACTGCAGTACTAATCATAACTTCTAGTAATATATTAATTCAAACCAAGAAAAAAATGTTAGTCCCATAAATGTTAAAGACCTTGATTCATTTTTTCTGATTTTTTTTACAATTACAAGTGTTGTAATAAAAGAAATTCACATAAAAATGAAGATTGAAATCACCTGTGGAGATGTCTTCTCCTTCTGGTACTCCAGAAAGGTTTTCCTTTGCTATAGCAGTCTTGGCAGCATCAATTGCAAATCGCTCAGCAAAATCAGAATTACAGGTAGAAACTGTGTCAGCAAGGGCTAACAAATGCATCTGATCCAAACTGGACAGCCCTGGTAGATGAGTGTGTGTTAAAAGTCGAGACAGAACACGCCCCTGAAAAAAAATTATAAAGATATTGAACATAAGCTCTTCAGGACATAAACAAAACATAAGAATGTATCAAATTTCCTAACATTTATTACTCTTTTAATTTAATCCTATATAAATTAGCATACTTAATGCTAGATTTATTTTCTTTCAAAGAAAGCGTTTGAAAGGGAGTGTTTACCTACAGTGCAAAACACATGGAAAATATACTTAGATTTCATATTTTTAACACAATTTTTTTCAGATAACTTGTGGTTTCAAATGGAAATAAAAAAGAAACTGTTTTTATTCCACCCCAGCTATGACAACTACACCAACCTGTCTTGGACCAAAGTGGGAAAGTCCTTGACGCTCCTGGCTCAGAGACACGCGCCTGTCATGTCGTCTGGGTGAGTCGGGTTCATCTACTAGGAGGTCATCTAATGATTCATCTGCATCAGCCACATTACCATCAAACAGATCATTATAGTCCTGAAAACATTACAAAAGTTCCTCAATTGGCCTCAAACTACTTAAAATTATGACATGCCTTAGAACATAGTTATCTGTAACTTACTGGCCTTTTCACAGATTTCAAGAAATAGTAAGCTTGACACCCCTATCCTTTACCAGAATGCTATTACATGTTTAGAGGGGGGAAATAGAGCACCATGAGAATTTAAAAATGTTGTGTTGTGTAGGTGATTTGTAAAGAATAACTAAAGTTGTCAAAAATTACATCAGACTGAGTATAGAAGTCAACCTTGATCTTGTTTGATAACATTTATGAAATTCCATATAAGATGAAAGTGCTCAGCTAGACAAGGATGACGGTTAGCTACATTGCCAAAAAACCTAGTGCATATACTCTTCCTTCCTCAAATGGAATGCTACAGCACAGATCCCAGAATTTTTCCCAGTTATAGAGTGAATCATAAAAGTATTAGTTGCATCATCATCTCTATTGAGGCGTCATTATAATAGCGGCCAAGCAAAGCCATTATGGTGGAGGCTCCCGAGTCCCTCAGGAGTTACTTGTTATAAATTTTAACTTGTTTACGTAGACTTCTGAAAAAAAACTTACTTGAGCTTCTTCACTGTTTTGCGCTGCAGCTCCAGCAGGTTCTCGGTCTGCTGCAAGGAGAGTCCACAAAGGAAGTGGTGGTACAGAGCTAATCTCAGCATAGTCCAATGTCACTTCCTCAGGAATGGCAGTGGTAGAGCCTCTTTGCTCCAAAGGGCTGTTTGTGCCTACAGGTAAGTTTATAATAGAGTTAGAAGAAGAAGAAGAAGAAGAAGAAGAAGAATACTGTTATAACAATTACAACCACTTTTTCAGGCTTAGTCACCAAAATTATCCACAAAGTCAATCATTTTATATACAAGCTTGCTATTTACAAAATTTTTTATGCAGACAAGGAATACACACAAAAACAAGCTTATACAAAATACAAAGTAAACTAACAAAAGTTATTTTTCTTTCATTTACAAAAAAACATTTTGACATCAACAATTAGAAAATCCTTGGTGACTAAGGAAATACCTGATGGAGGAACATCAAGTTGTCTTAATCCTTAGTAATGATGATGAAGATGGTTATCACTAGTTTGTATACATTAAAATTAATTTAGAAAGGAGACATTCTTAATTAGTTAAAAATCCTGTTATTTTCAAGTGAGAATGAAATAAATATTCAAGTTCTATTGCATTATTATTTTCATTTAGTATATTATAATAAGATTTGAAGCCAATTATGTATAATTTTGATGGAAATGAATGAATGTTAAGTTTGTAAACATAAACATTTTTTTGTCATAGATGTGGTTATTTCCGCACATGTGGAACCTTTTAAAGAAATTAAATCTAAAAAATATTTAAAATAAAGGTCATAGACAAGATTAAATGCAACCAAAACTTACCAGCACCCACATAGCTCACAGACAAGGTTCTCGACCGGGACCAGCCTCTTTGACGAACCAAGTTCTCTTCATCTGTGCCACCTTGAACCAATGTACCTTGTCGCACATTACAGGTTCCAGAGATGCATCTAAATGGAAATGGTAACAAAACCTCTTAACTTTTAGCAGAGAACCGTTTCTTATAGCAGCTATTACACAGATTCATCAACATAATACCAAAATAAAAATAGAAATTAATTATGAAAGTGCATTATATCTCCAGTTCAAGAGATATACTCAAATTCATTCTACTTTTGGGGGAAATGGATATTCTAACGCTTTTGTACTCAAAACTCCGAAAAGAGCAACATCAGAAAGTGAGAAACAACTATAACATCAAAATATATAAGACAGCAGAGCACACACAATCTGAAGTACATTTTGAGCTTTTATTTTACTTGAAATTGATTTATGCTTGACTAATCAAATCTCAGTAAGATCTTATTAAATTTAAGAATAAGAGTTATACTTAATTTCTAATAAAAAAAAATTATCTATTTTCTTTGTTCAGGCCAGTGCACAATTTTTGACAGTTGAAACCATTGAGCATCACTATCTCCAAAATATATTTTGCCACGCTGATGTGCCAAATGCCATCTAGCCAAAAATGTCTTGGAAGTGTCAGTCCAGTGTGTACAGTCAGAGAGGAAAGTTTTCACAAGTAATTTACACTGTTCTTATTTACTGTCACATATCATCACTAAAATTAATATTAGAAAATTTAATACAAATTATGACAAAAAGCAGATGAGAACATGTATGCATGTAAATTAAGTTATAAACAGAGGCTAGACCTTTAACACTAAATTGCAAAGAGCCCACATTGTTTACGTCCATCAAACAATAAAACTTGCAATGATACAGATAATTTTAATCAAAGAACTAGGCATGTATATAATATTTCTTAAACTGAAAGTTTCAAAATGTATGTTTTCTAGATTCTACCAAAATAAATTTATTGATTTCAAGCAAACTTAACTGCACACTCCAGTAGGCAGAAAGAAAAAAACAATGACAAGTACCACAATCACAGTCCCAGCATAAATTACCTAATGTTTGTAAAATGAATGGGAATCATCTCTGCGTGTACCTGACTGGCATGAGTGAGTATAAAAATAACCAGACACATGAATAAACAGAGTATAAACAGATTTCTTTGATATTAACAAATAAGTATGTCACCTCACAAGATGTGCAAGGATAGCCTTAACCCAACGAATCTTTCCAGAGTTAAGCAATTCCATGAGTTGCTTAGGGTGATACTGTGGCAGAACAGGGCATGCAATACGACTGGCCTCAAAAAGACCATAATCAGGCATGTAGTCAACGCTAGGAGTTTCAGCTTGTACAATTGCACCTATAAAACAACAGAAAGATGTGAGTTCTACAAAACTTAGTTCCTCAAAGCTTACTAACACACACAGGTAACAGAACTGATGATTCCCAAATACTTAAATCTTCTATTGAAATATACACATACAAAATAATCTGATACTTTAAATTAAAAAAGAATTTTAATAAGTTTTTTAACAATCCAAAATCCCATTCATTTCAGAATCCATTTTCTATTGGGTTTTTTGTTGACAATCATAAATTGTAATTGTAACAAACAAAAAATTCATGAAGTTCAATATTAAGTTTGTAGTTCACAGGTGAAAAAGAAATAACAAGAGATAAAAGTTCTTTCAACAAATATTCAAATTATCAGACTTACCACGCTTCTTCTTGCTGTCTAACATGGTCAAATTGATTGAAGATACACGAGAAAGATGAGGCATTGAGCTGACAGTAGCCATGCGCCTTTGAGAAGTCTCTTGCACAAGACTACGGAGGTCTTCATCTCGAAGGTTCCGTGAATCAGGCAATTCTTCTGATTCTTGGGGTGCCAATGCTCCTCTAACCTGTTCTCCATTCACTACAAACACAAACATTCGGTTATACAAGCATCAGTTTGGAAAGTCCTCATTCCACATTCTAGGAATGGAAACATAAGAGAGGAAGAGAGGATTTTCTTTGTCAGAGATTCCAAACAACAGATTATAATCAGTTCAATAAAGTATGCAGACTGTAACGTCTATTACAACTTCACTAACTACAAGAACTGAACATTTTAACTTTGAAAGTACGTTCTTTATGTTCAACAAAAATTACAGCAATACACTACAAGTAGCAAGCAGATCAAAATCACTTTCGATAGTCTACGCCAGGCCTACTCAACTCAGTAGCTCAGCAAACTCAAAATATCCCTTATCAGCTGGTTTGTGTTGAGGAGGGGATGGATAGCGCTCAGCAGCAAGAGCTTTAGGAGGAAATTGTGGGGCAGTTGAAAACCTACTGCCATTGGCTCTGACGCACATGACTCAGGGGCAATGTGAATTATAATTCCCTTCCTGGGCTTCATACACCTTAAAACTCACCACACAGCACATTCAGAATTTTAAAGCATTTCAATAGGTTAAGTGATTTTAAGACCACAGATTGTGATAATGAACTTCTTGCACATCAGTTTGGTCTTCCTCTTTTTGAGAATATTAAAATATTTTGCCTGAGCTATCACTATTTTCTTGTTCCTTAAAATCATCAATAATCATGATTTTTGCACTACCCACTTCATTTTCACATGAGTCATTTTCTTGAACCAGAAAATTATTGAACATTTTCAGCCAGAAAGCCCAAAAATTTAGGTATCATAAGTAAATTATACCAATACTGTGAACTACAAACTGAAAAAATTCAATGGAGCATGCTGAGAAAATTATGGATGAATATAGAGAGAAGGATGGGGTAGATTGTGAAAACAGTAAATTTATTATATGTCTGAACAGTGCCAGTGAGATTTCATGGAAAAATACCTTTATGTAATTATTGTCCAATAAATTTACTTGGTAAAAAAATGAATAAACATAATTCTTCATCCTTAGTTTTCAGTGTTGAATATTCAGATGAAATATATTATTGTAGGAGCAAGGAAATAATGAAATGCAGACAAATTAAATTTAAGAAATACTCTGACACCCATTTTTTAAAATTTTCCTTTCATTCATTCTATATCCTTATCAACCATTTACAATATTTTTAAGAATGTAATTTGTTAATTTATTCCTCCTAAGTTTTCTAACTATACAGTAAAATCTGTCTAAACCAGAATAGATCGGGACAAAACAATATTCAGGTTTAAGGAGGTTTCCACTTTATGGAGGGTTGTCCATTTTGTGACATTTGTTTTATTGATATTTCCATTCTGAAACTAGTAAATTACAGAACTCTATTATAATTATAAAAACATATTAATATAGCATATTATGGAAGAAATCACCAATAAATGAATATTAAACATATTTATGACAATTAAAAGGAAAAACTTCACAACTTGTGCACTAAAATAATAATATTTTTCCAGACTTTCACCTACAGTTTTTTGTGTTGAACTTCCACTTCCTAACACCGTTTCAATAATGATTTCTGAAGTTGAAAATTTTAATATTTAGGGTTTATGGTTTTTGCTGCCACTGTTAAATTGGATGTAAAAATCATAAAACACAACAACTTACTGCCTAGTGGCTGTCCCGACTGCTTGCCAACTCTTTCAACACAATGCATCACAACCCAAAGAATTATGTCTTTCTGATACCCTAACATAGCCTTGACCGACGTGGCTTCTGCCATGACAACGATGACCTGATTGACAAAGTGGGGCCGATAGATGTGTGAACGCAAGCCAAGTTGGTGCACATTCCCATGCTGAGAGAACCTGGAAAGACTGAGTTCCCTTAGCACCTATGCCCTGGGGGACAAGTGATCCCAGGGTCGAATACTACGCTGACAACTGAAGTTTCTTGCCTTCCCTGTGCGGATGCGATGACAAACTCATATCACTGAGACAGAGAAATTAAGATTTGCAGACTCATTCATTCCTTGAATGGTATCTCGTGACTCCTTGCCAATTGCATTCATTTTGCAGAAATTCTGTTTTATGAAGGTTTTCTCCCCCTGCAGGACATGAAAAACAGTTTCGTTTCCAAGTTGTAAAGGTTCCCGTTTTATACTGTGTAAAATGCCACTTAACTTCATGGACTGGAGAAATTTTCCGGTTGCGACAGATTTCTGGTTCTGTTTTACAGGTATAGGTTCTGTTTTATTCAGATTTTACTGTACTTTCATTTTACAATGAAGTAAAGCATTTAACTTTTCATATTTCGGCACAATGAGTTTCACAAGAAAAAATTCAAAATATTTGGTCCAATTGATAATTATTTCAATGTTTAAAAACATTTAGTGGATTAAAATTCATGTTTTAATGAGAGAAATTCTTAATGACAGATTATATGGAATTGCTTATATGTGAATGTAGAGCCAAAGCCTAGCTTCATGTACATTTTTGATGTTGGCAGAACCAAAAGTTTGCCATATTGAAAATTCTAGGGACAAGGCAATTTTCTAGTCGTCATCACGAACTGCAGGATGAAACGCCAGGGGAGGCCTGATCCTGGTTAAGTAGTAGACCTGATATACTTCTGTCTTCCCAATGTTCCCACATGATCCACTACTTTCTGGATCTTCCTCTATATCTCTGTCAAAGTGGCTTATATTTTAGGGCAGCCATTGGGAATCTTCATTCTTTCATTCTTTTAATATGTTCCAGTCAGTTTTTCTGATTCTTTTAACTCCCTCTGTTCTGTTTGTTGACTTAATCTTTTCCTTACTTCTTTATTTCTCTGTCGATCCAGTCTGTGGTGTCATAACAGTCGCCTTGTACAAACGTACCAAAATCAGCCACGTGCATTTCATGCTCATGGACAGCGCTGGCAGAAGAGTCACTAGGCTCAACAAAGGCAAACCTAGGGAGCGGAAGGGAAGGGGTGCCGTGTCATGGGTGGCAAACTTGGGAACCCCGTAGGCAGGCCGGCGGCAGAAACGCGTTGGCGGAAACAGCGAGATGACGCAGTTTCGTCAGCCGGCCCAGAAGGTATATAAACGGACCCCGGACCTAAACTTCTTCTTCTGATTCTTGGGCGCATCGGTAGGAAGTCATGTGGGTTGTGCGTGGCACTGCATTTTAATGCATAGGCTACTGAGGCAGGGAACTGAAGCCGGCGTGCTACGTCGAGACAGGAGGTGTGGCATACTCGCTTGTATGCTCACGTAGGCTACTGGTGCATCACATTGAATATGATATCTAATTATCAGGCCAGCGGTGGTGGTAACCAGGGAACATTCCTTCTAGTAACGGGTCAGTATTGTTTAATGTAAATATTGTACATAGTATTCAGGTTTTGGAGCACTTTTTCAAATAAATACTTAATAATTTACAAACCGTTCACGTCTGTGATTTATTGCCCCGGCAAAGACGCCACAAGTCAAGTATAGCCAAGGAGACGTCTTAGGAACCTCATTTGAATTGCTTTCAGTCTTTGATTGTCTATTTTAGGATCCAGGTTTCTGATCCATATAATAGCATTGGTTTGGTTGTCATGTGTATTTTATAGGTTTTATATAGGTATAGGTGTAGGTTTTTGCTATTTGGAGATCGTCTTCTGAATCAGCCAAAACATTTGGTCATTGGCAAACAAGACTGTTTGTATAGTTTGTTTTTTGATAATTTGTATACCTTCATTTTCTGATTTCTTCCATTCTTTGATGAGACTGTTCGCATAAATATTGTAAAGGTTGCGTGATAGGCTGTATCCCTGTCTCAGTCCTCTATTTGTGTGAAGTGATTTTGCGATGGTCCCATTATTCATTTTTAAGGTGATTTTTGAGTCCATGTAGAGCGTTTTTATTCCATTGATGATCTCTATTGGTATTCCTTCTAATACTTTCCACAGTTTAACCCTGTTCACCATATCATCTGCCTTTTCACAGTCTATGAATATCATATATATTGGCAAGTTTCTTTTATTTCTTTTGTCTAATACAGTTTGTACTGTGAATATTGCATCCTTTGTGCTCCTACTCTTTCTGAATGCACATTGTGCTTCGCCCTTGAAGTTTTCACTATACTCATTCTGTTTACGCATACTCGTTAGCATCACAACCCCCCGCGAGCCCTATCCCCATCAGCGCGGGCGGCGGAACGCGCGCCCGTTGTTCCAGCATCTGCCCTTCTCTTTGGTCATTGGCCTTTCTGTTTAAGGCCATTATCCGCAAATCCAACTCTTTGACATCGCACCGACGGCCTTTGCCACCCTCTTAGGCGGTCGGCATGTATGGTTTATGACTCCATTTGCACCTTCCGCGAATTGCGACCACCCCAGCCTTCGGCTCGGCTGTAAGTGCACCGCGCAGTCCCGCTCCTGGTCTTAGAGGCTTCGGCAGCCCTTCCCACGGCGGCCCAGACCACCCCCTCCGCCACGCCTCGTAGTAGCCACACCCGCTCCAGGGTGAAGCGGGTTTCTCTATATTCGTGCGCACAACCGCGCCCCAGGAGATTGATTGAGATGACAGATTCATAGTTAGACATGTGAAGGCGAGGCACATGAGGACAGGACTTATGACAGGAGCGGAGCGGACGTGGAATGATACAGCAGTCAGGGCCACAGGCTGCCTGCATTGCCGATGGTTGAGGACGCCCATCTCGGCATGTCCTGTCCACATGTCATGAATTGGACCCCGACAGTGCGCACTGCCTGGTCGTAGTGTCCAGAGAGGCTGCAGCGTTCACTTAGAGCGACCTCCGCGCTACGAGTGCCATGCCCTGGCATCAATTGGGGTAAATTTAACGGCTTCATAGCAGGTACCTGTTTTCTGCCTCCGAAGTGCCAAGCCAAGCTGGTCAAGCTCAGAAGATTAATCAGCATTATGAATCACTCATTGAATTTCTGTCATTTCCATTGCATCATTCAATTATACGATCTGTAAACTAATCTTTAAGTTTTAGATTTAGTTCTTATTAGTATTCACCGCTCGGGCCCAGCACGTTTGTATGTTGTAGATTTAGATTTAATGCTTTTGGTTTTCATGTTTTATCTTAAATTGTAAGTTTTTATTTATTAATTCAGAGGAACTATTAATTAAATTAATATTTATCTATCCGCGTTGTCATTCATTTTGGTTGATCCTTCATTTCCTCGTACGAGGTGGTCCTCCAACCTTTTCTTTTAGTAGCCCTCTGGCTACATCGCTTGAGCTACCGGACGCCGATATGAGTGTGCGCTGTGCACGTCTATAGCCAACAGTACAGTCCATGTTGTTGGCTCATCATCATGCGTGGCACTGTGTGAGAGGTGGGTACCAGGTGAGTACCGCATCTGCATGTAGTCGCATGACACGGATGCGTGGTGCACATACACATTCATTCTATTCTTCAATATGTTAGCAAATAATTTTGAGGAGAATATAATTTTCTAGTTAATAAGATAATTTGAAATTTTATTTTGACTAAATAGTAAGAATTAATTCAAAACTTAAAAATTCTCAGGAGGCTTCTACAAAATTAGGGGGTTGTCTTGTATTAGGGTAAATACTTTAAATCAGGAACCACACTTGCTACTTTATAATGGTAAGACAGAAGCAAGAATTATGCTGAATGTTCCCTTCATGTACTTACCACTCGGTTTCCATTGGGAATAGACATGCATCTCACTATCCATTCCCACAACCAAAATACCATCTCGAACCCAGGAGAGCTGCATAGGCAATGGAGGCAATCCATCCGCAGTCATTAGGTCAATTTTACGCAACTTCATCCACCTAATAATACAACAAAATTAAAACTTGAAATTCCAAAATACATTTAGCATTTAAGGAATAGCTAACACAAATACGTAACAAATTTCAAAAAATAATGTAAAATGTTCGAAAGTTAAGGTCACAAACACATTGTGTTTCCAGATGATGTGAAGTTTTCACTAAGGCAAAATACTTCCATGATAAACATGCAAATAAGATTATAATGTGTATGGGAATAGTAGTATTGAACATTTTAAAATACAATATCACAATATTTTGATATAAATATTATGCAAAAATATGTAACAAATATAAAGCACTACAAATGTGTACATCTGCTATTAAGTAACTCCATACCGTATTTCATCAACAAACTGAGGAACAGCCAGTGAAGATGCCTTGCGTAAAATTGGCCTATTGGCAGATTGAGACTCCTTCATAGCTTTCATGTTGGCCTGGGCAAGATCACTGGACACTGGTGTGAACAACAGTACCTACACAGAATACAATAATTTTTCACTGTGTGTGTACCAATTACATACTTAGCTTTAACACCTCCATCTCCTAAGCCAAGAAAATGGATAGTGTCAATCGAAAACCACCGAAAAGCACCATAAAATTAAAATATTAATTTGCTCTATTACTCTTTATACTCCTCCATGTCATGAAAGATGACCGCATCAATACAAAATCCAATATATATTTTAATGCTGGGTAGAAAATTACCCACTAAATCCTGATTTTAAATAAAATGAGAATTTATGGTTTGATAATACGGGTCACAAAGATCCCATAGTTGTGATATATCTGGACTTCTCAAAAGCCTTTTATACAAAACCACATAGAAAACTTCTCCTTAAACCCAAACACTATAAAATAGATGGAAAATTGCTTCAGAGGATAAACGCACTTGTCGTGGATAGAAGGTTAACAGTCAGAGGAGGGAACACACATTTTGCCATAAACGAAAGTGAGTAGTATTCCACAAAGGTCAGTACTGGGTTCAATACTATTTATATTGTTTACCAGTGACAACATATCACAAGTCAAGCAATTCCATTAATGCTCACGATCTAGACCCTTACACATTCCTGGACACAAGAACGACATATTCTGAATAAATCAAAAACCATGGTCATGCATTTGGATACGAATAACCTATCTCATACCGTTTTTATCCAAATATAAGATGAGGCTTTTTCCTCAATATCTCACTTGAAAATTGGGCGACAGCCTTATATATGCAGATTTAAACCCATTCTGTTAACAATTGAATCGTTCAATGCAGAAAGGGTACATCTTACATTTTCACAACCTTACAGCAGATAGAAAAAATAGAATTTGTAAGAAGACAAAAATTTTATTTTGTAACTTTTTCCACAGATACACTTGCAGTATTTGAACACAATATATTACAAAAGTACAGTACACAATAAAAGCTAAAGCTAAAAGAAAGGCATACTGATCATAACATTAAAATAACCAAAATGTGTACATGTGCCCTTTCTGTATTGCAATGGTTCAATTGATTTTATACTGCCTTTCCATATGAAGAAATTGATCATGACATATTAATAAGCTGTAAGGGTGATAAATATCACATGTACCTGCAATTATTCTTAATTAAAATCACTGATATTTTGGGAGTAAAGTGTGGACAATGACAAATAAAGATATATCAAGATTGCAGGCAGCGGAAATGAGATTCCTTAAGAGCGGTAGCAGGATATAGCATTTTGGACAGACAAAGAAACACACAAATCCGAAATGAGCTAAATGTAGAAAGTCTTATAGAGAAAGTCACCAACTACAGACTCTCATGGCAAGATCACATGTTGCGAATGAACAACGACAGAATTCCTAAACAAGTGGCAAATTATCAGCGGAGAGGAAAAAGGAATGTAGGACGTCCAAGAATACGCTGGAGGGACCGAAATTAAGTGGCGTAACAGGCATTATGCCAAAATACTTGAAGATAATAACTGCCAATGAGATAAGAAACTGCAGGTGAATACTGTGTTCCGTTGATTACTTCAGTATCATTCTACGGCTGAATGTAGACTACTTTACATTGAAATATCTATTATCTTCTTTATTTGTTAACTTAGAATTATATATGTTCATAAGTTTATATACATATTATTTAAGTACAATTTGCTACAATATACTGTAAATACAATGAGAATAGATTTCGGCAAAAACAGAACCACTGCTGCCTGTCTGTACACAAATATAACATCCAAAAATAATAAAAATACTTTAAGAAAAACTACAACAATTTCTTCTGAAACATTTTATAAATAATGATTTTATCTTTCTGCTACAAAATGCACTGTGAGTTTTCATTTACCTTGCTCCCCACTGCAACTGTGAGAATGTGTGAACCATCTTCTTTGCTGACCCAGTCCAGTTGCACTAGGTGCTTTTGAGTCAATGGGCAGGTGTTGCCACATTCAATGATAGAACGGCGCAGGGACTGAAGTGTGCTGAAGCTTGGCACTGCTGTCAAACCTAAAACACAGTGCTTCATGAAGCAAGCATTTTTTCTTTCAAAAGATGCATTTTCTGAGTCTCTTGATCAGGTGGAAATTCAATTAAAACTAATATGCCTTATAGGAGAATAGATTTTAGAAAGTAGAACAAGGCTTCAAGTTGTATTTCAAAACTTTTCATAGCAAGATGTCCTTTGGAACACATCATAGACCAACTGCCATTTACTTAAACCTTATTAAATAATTTATACTTCCCAATATAATAATTTAATAAAAATTGAGAGCAATTTTACTGTGAACTACTTCCATTCTCCAGCAATGAAAATGTACTCAAAGAATCCACCTCAAATCCCAAAGAGCACTTACAAATTTCTCCCATCCTCACAAAATTCTGATACAAAATACATACTTGTTCCTGATTTGTGTAGAGAACCATGAATGTCATCTCCACCATTACGTCGGGTACTTCTTTCCTCTCCAAAGCGTCGGGGTCTCTCATGCAAAACACTGAGATCAAGCTGTGGATGCAGCTGCATTCGAGGTAGATGAATATTCTTTAGATGAATTGTATCTTCCAAAACCCACTCTGAACCTACAGAGATTACATGCCAATCCAGTTCAGATAAATAATAATAATAATAATAATAATAATAATAATAATAATAATAATAATAATAATAATAGTAATAATAAACAATTTTCTCCTAAAAATATGTTTATGACATTATATAATATTAGTTACAGTCCTTGCCAGGAATGAAAGAAAAAATTTTAAAAGTTACATAGCACTCACCTCCAGTGCTTTCACATTCGTAAATCGCCACACAAAGATTTACAAAACGTGAATCTGGATCGTTTTTAGAAGGTCTAGTAAATGATTTGCCATACTTGTAGGCACAAGCAATGCGACCACTATAAGCTGCAGATATATTCAATGGTTGACCTGCAAAATTTTGCAAAAATATTGGTTCTCTTAATGCAAGTGAATTGGAAGATACTCTCTGGGGATTTTTATTTACAGTTCACAAAAAAGTGTTTATTTAACCAAATCTAAAAGTGATACAAAGTTGAATTAAAATACCTGTAATGTCAATGGCTGAAGTAAGCCCTCTTCTGCTCATTTCCCATTCACACCATTCATACGTTCTACGTGGTGGCTCACCTCCAGAAATTTTGCATTTCCAAAACCTGAAAACATTCAGCACTGAGTTCATGGACACATCGTATTTTATAATAAATTATTTCGGGTATAAATGGCTATTTGTCCAGAAATTAAAACAACACTAGCTTACAGTATGCACGTAAAAAAGAGAATTTCAAAAAATTACATAATTTCAAAATCTCTCATTCTCTTAAAAATAATTGATTCTTCAAAATCCAGCAATTCTCAAAATTCAGAAGAATTCCTCAGGTACAAAGGGCATACCGTATAGTTGAGTCCGAGCAGGCAGTCACCAAGATGTAGGGTGCGAAACAGGCTGGGTAAATTGATGCGGAGCTAAGATGGCCAGCAGCAGGAGCAGCATGAACAACCTCCACACCATCAGGTAATGGTAGAACTTGTGTGCACACCTGGTCACACCAAGAAAATATTGTCAGTGACATATGACACAAATGCCATAACCCAAACTTTGAACAAGATCTTGGAAACACCCAAAAGTTAAAAAAAACAACAACAAAAAACAAGCACACCTTTGTGGTAGATATGACAACATGTGAAGCTTGTGATGGCTGTTGAGGACCAGTTGTATCATTCTCCACACCTGCCATGCTAGCTGACCGCCCCCCACCCACTTCTGGCTCCTCTTCATCTTGTATAAGCTGACTGTCTGGCACGTACATCATACTTCCTGACAATTCTGCAAGTACATGCCAACTTGAACACTTACATACTCGCATAGTCTGATTTAAACAATAAAGTATAGAAGGTTCAAATAGGAATATATATTTATTAACCTTCAGTTACTCGAGCTGGCAGACTTTGTTCACCACGGGAACTATAATCCCCAGTCAGATAAAAATCAGTGCGCATTATGACATTAGACCTAACCTCGCAGAAAGCTTTTAGCTCCATCCTCGATACTCAGTTGTGCAAGATTTACTGCTGTGGCGAGACATTTGTATGTCTGTCAGAAAGTGTTTCTTGGCATACTTTTTACACCACACGGGTACCAATGTGAATTTTCATTTTCTTTTAATTGTCATAGGACATTTTTATTTATTGATGATTTCAAACTAATTTATTTTGTTTTATTTTAGGAATAATACAGAGATGAATTATTTATTGGAAAAGCAGGTATCTGAATTATTACATGAGGAATCGTCAAAAGATGAAATTGGCGATGCTGCACGTGATTCTGAGGAAGTTGTAGTGGCCAAGTATACATTTAAAATCAAACTAAATAAAGATTATATTCATATATTAATCAGAGCTCATTTTTCTAACACTATAGGCTTGGCGTACAAAGTATGTCATTTGGGTAATTGTGCGATAAAGCATAGCACGAGTAACTAAGAGTTAAGTAATATTCTCGGTACCTCAGTTTAGGTAAAAAACATTATTGTATTTCATTACACACAATTTTTAAATGAACACTTAAAATTATTTTCTGTCTTCAATCTAGTATGTCTAAACACTAAACCTCTGCTTTCCACTTCTTGCTATCTTGAACTTACCACTGCTATCTGGTTGTGAGGCGATAACCAGTCTCCACATGTGAAGAATAGACTCCGAACCAGTCTTCTCCAGAACCACAATGTAAAAAGGCTCTTCAAAGACTGAACTCTGTTGTAAATCTACCATAGCACCAAGTTCAGAATGCATAAGGCCCAAGTCTGCAGCCCCTACTGTATTGCTTGCATCTCCTGCACCTGCAGTAGGACCTCCCACTCCGCTCACTCCACCTACATTGGAGGAGCCACGCTCCTCTGTTCTTTCGCCAGTAATAAGTTGCTCTTGGAAAACATGGAGGAATTGGGTGTTTTGCCAGTCCTGTAAACAAATAATTGTGTGAGCACAATGTGTAGAAAACAATATTTAAAGAAACAAAATAATTGAAAATAGCATATCATATTGAGCAGAAAGTGAAATAGTGTAAACAATTAAGCATAAAGTCCCAATCAAACAGTTTTTTAAACCATTAAAGATTGAGAGATCAAAAGCAATATACTATCAGTCTACACCATTACAAATTTTTAAAGTACATCTGAAAAATTTTTCAAGTACATCACAACTCTATTGGTGTACATACATAAAGTTTTTATACAAAAAAGTATATTCTAGAATTTAAATTTAATGTAAATGTAGTCAGAAAAGTATCCAAAATCAAAGATTTTGATCTATTGGGGAAGTTGGATGTAAGAACAGCATAACCTTGAAAACGCAGTTTGAAGTAAAATGAGTTAGAAGTTTTTCACAGCGATTTTACCGTAAATCCTTCATCAGAAGGTAATCTGACATGCGGTAAATTTATTTTGACTATTTCACTCATGGAATTAAAGCCAATAGTGTTTAACTACATATACAAAATGCCCCAATCAGAGTGGTGTATCTCAAAATATTTATTGCTTTTTCTATCTGATTTTTCTTATCCCTTCTACCTACTGGTCAATCATAAGCTGAGACTCGTCTATCTAAGGAGGCTGTATACATTGATCATTATGTTGATGTCCAATAAACAGCGTATGTACTAAAACATTACCTCTGATTTTAACACACGCTTTCAGTCGTTTTCCATATTTTGTGCACTTTGAAACTCTGTTGGATATAATTTCACTCGAGGAATAGTCCTATTAAATACCACTCATGCTTTGGAAATTCCTAGATAACTCCCCTTCTTGCATTGCAAGTCGGAAATTTATCAACAATTTCCAACACACTCGTAGTATTACCTACGATAATTTCATTGGGGATATGTTGCTACTAGTAGACTTCACAAGAGTTCGCTCCAACTATTCATGGAACAGCTGAGTTACTATTCCTCTACTACAAGAATACCAAATATGGGCAATAGTGACTTTTTGATACATCAGTTCATGAATTCAAAAAATCGGCAAATGTAAAGTTGTTGCAAGAGTATACTCAACAAGCTGTGACTTATAAGTGTAAAGTTTATTAATTACAATATATCATGTAAAAATCACTGTCTAGAAATTGGTATAAATTAACATATATTCAGTACTACAATCCATATAAGTCTTTGCTCACAATGTTTTATTTCATTGTTTGAAGTAAGTAAATTCTTCACTTGTCCAGTTGATCACATTTTTTTATTAATGAATGTTTAGGTAACATTTATATATTCATTGGAATTAAACTGATGTTCGTGAAGATCTAATATATGAAAATAAATGTTGTTTGCATTTTATGCGCTACTGTACCGTCCATCTGATTGCGATAAAACTGTGTCAAATTATTTCTTGCACTTGCATGATGAATATAGACATAGTACAATGGGAATGTGCATATGTTTATCGCACACAGCCGCATGTTGATAATAATTGCGTGTGTTTATGCTGACGCAAGCGTCCCTGAACATAAGTTCTATGCAAGCTGTCACACTTGTAAGTATTAATTCCTGCAGATTCGGTGCAAATTCTGCCTCTGCGGTTGAGGAATATTAGTTGGAATTATTACTTGAAGTTTATCTCACACAAGTAAATCAATTTTTCCCAAAACAATGTCATAGCAAATGCATACCCAAACATCAGGGATAATGTTTTAACAACAGGATACTTGACAATTATGTCCAAAAAAGGACATAGAGCAAACTCATACTCACAAGAAACTCTTCCATCTATTAAAATGATTGCAGAGTAGTGTAAAACATGATTAACAATCACATGACCTGTAGTGTGTGAAGTGTAACACAGTGAAACTCTGATTAGATGTTTCACACTTATATGTTCATAATAAAAGTCCCTTTAAGACCAAATAATATTTAAATGATCTCATAGAAATGATGGATAAGGCGCAAGGCAACCTGCGCCAAGTGCCCGGAATTTTAGTCAAATTGGCACGCTCCGTAGAATATAGTAATATAGAAATTGAACTCGCCCTGACTGAGGGGCCAAGACCACTCGAGCCAGCGAGGTGATAATGCAAAGTCAGCTCCCAAGCCACCCCCGGGAGTAGGACATCAAAAAATTTCAGAATTGCTTTGGAAAGGGAACTGGAGACTGTGGTTAAAATTTAATTTCTGAGAAACCTATATTTTTTAAAGCTTCACACACAACGCAATTTAAATACACTTTAAATAAAAATTAATATATAAATTTATAGTTAATTTGAAGACTTCAGAGATAAATTTAAAGAGATTTCAAGATTAACACAATCATGGAATATGTTTTGGGCATTCCTGCAACATACACGCAAATTGTAATGTTAAACACATCAAGATAACAGACTTTTTTTCATTAGTAATCTTTTAATCTGCATATTGAATTCTTCTTTCTTGGCAATATGTTTTGTAATAAAATGGTAGTGTAAAAATATTGAGTTTTTATTTTGCTCAAGATATTCAATTTTAGTCAGGTGTTTTTCCTACTTATACATTTTTTTCCCTTCAATTCCCTGAGAAACGTATAAAAGAAATTTTACTGTACATTGCACTAGCGTAACACTGCCGGGTCCACTAGTATATAATAAATGTAAAAATGGTCCATAAAAGTAGCAGAATTATGTACAAAACAATCACCCACACAAAAATGTAAATTAGCAAACACTCAAGAACCTAAATTCAAAAATATACTGAATAAGAAATCAAAAAACCGTTTTGAATGTGTAAGGAAAAACAAAAAGACCTAGTTCCATACCATAATAAACTATCCTCTTATGAACACCAATACATACATGATTTGCATCTGATATGGCATCAAGTTGAATGACACATCCAGGTCGTGCAGTTGACTGCTGAGAGACAATGCGTATGTGGTCATGGAGTGATGTATGCTTCAATCCATCTTCTGAAGAAGTATCCGTTGACAAACTTACAAGAGAATCCTGCAAGAGATATTAAACATAATAAACGGAATACACAAAGACTTATTTCAAAATCCAATACAATAGTTATTTGTACATAATTTCTTTTTTTATTTTTATTTCCTTAAATTAAATTACAAAAATTACAAAAACAAAAATTTCTTTCAAAGTACTAATTTTCATGAAACAGAACTTCAAGAACTATCTTCAAGTATTCTAGTTGTCACATGCATGTACACTACAGCTCTAGTTGTCACACACATCTATACAGGTCTCTAGTCATGTGGGTATCTAGGACCCATATATGCGGGTATTCTAATGGGTCAAACTCACTCGCATTCAAAAGGGTACCCGTGTAATAGAGGTTGCCTGATAACTGAGGTTTTTGATGAACGAACAAAGATACTCCGTTAAGATGGTAGATATTTATTTATGCAGAAGTTACCACATAATAAGCAAAGCAGGAAAGTAGCAGAATGAAAAAATTAATCAAGGAAAGGCCTTAAGGGCTCTCTGTGCTCTTTCACTGCATACTTACTAGATGCCTTTCGTACATTACTAAGTTGTTTAATTTATTTAAATCATTATAGATTATATTTTAAACCATTTAAAAATATTTGAATTGTTATTTAAAAAAGTGAAAAAATAAATTGATCTAAATTGTTGTGTGTTTAAGCAATAATGCTATTTCTTTTGGAAAAAGACGAATAGGCGAAAATGATGAAAAGCATGAAAAGAACGAAAGGTGTACTGGATGATCGGTTTCTTCTAATTCAAGGAACTCTCACGACATATTAACGGAAGGACAAGGAAGTTTGTGCATGCCACTATCGATCGTCTGTGCATGCACAGATGGTCGAAACTTAAAACTGTTTAAAGTGCTTTATTGTCCAAACTGGCACAAACAGCCTAGTGTTCAGCAATTGACTGCAATGTCAATATTCTACACATGTGCCATTGCACAAGTGAAGGGAAATTTGATCTGTGCTTATGCAGAAGATCGATAGCGCTGACGGTTGCTGTAATGCTTTGCCGGGCAAAAATTCCTTATTAACACAGATATAAATGTCACAGCTTCAATTGGCATTCAGAGAAAAGTCCAAAATTTGTAACTTTGATGTATATGTGCAAGAACAATTGTAAAAATAAATTTTTGATAATTCAAGCCTGTGTTTGACCTTCTCATATGTCTGAACATACCATGTAAACAGCCGTTTTTGTCACCCTGCCTGCCCTCTCAGGAATTGGACACCTGCTGATAAGAAAGTGGCGTTGTGGGCGAGTAATGGCCAAAGGACTGGCGGCACGCAGTGTCAGATTGGATGAGAAGTCAAAGCGTCGTTCAATTTTTTCTCAAATACACGTCATGATCTCTCAAATGCATTATTTAAATATTAGCTGAACTTGCTTCCTATTTTTTAGTAAATACGTTTCTTAACATGAAAATTTGAAAACTTTATTGATACAATGTTTACTCATATCAGTAGTGCAATGAAAAGAGTGCGGGCCCGCCCACAAAATTGTTTATCCAGGGCCTCAATTTAAGTGTACAGCAAACACAAGTAGCATTAGTACTTTAAATAACAAAAATATAATTTAACAAATTCATATCCATCAGCAACGCTATCTGGATGTTATCACTTAAGATTCAAATTTCAAACCTAAACAACAGTTGATAGACAGTTTGTGTGTCATGTTTATTTTTAACTATGGTTAAGTACTTGTACCTAATAGTGCAAACATCTGCCTTTGTAATTGAATTTTATGAAGTGTCTGTTATAAAAGCTAAATAAATTGCATATATTGATTCATAAGCTACCGGAACTGCAAAAACGTTCTTCTGTTTGGTGCTGTTTTCAATCTTTTATTATATCAACTATTGCAATATATCAGAGAAAGCATCAAGTAATTAATATATCTTACAGTCGTGAAACCTTCAGCCTAAAAACAGGCCCTTTGTTTTACCCGGAACCACTTGTAATGCAGGCCTTGCAGGCCCGAACGTTATGCCACTGACTCTAATAAGAACAAGAAAGTTAGAAAATTGTTTTAGTTGTGAATTGTACTATAGGCACTGATCTTTACAATGCTGGAATTAACACTTTTCAATTGAAATTTATGTTGGCATCAATGCCCTTACCATCACAAACAGGAAGCTATTTTGTTACAGCCAACCTGCACTATAAGTTGTCCGTATTATAGAGATATCTACATGATATGGGTACCCGTATGATACGGGTACCCGTATGAATGCGGTTGGGTTGGACCCACATTTTTCTGTGACGGATGGATAGGCGGGTTGACGGGTCTGTGGGTAATCGTTGCTCCAATGTATACAGACTAACAGGTGGAATAAACCACTGGCTGGAATAAATCTTACTATTTAAGGACCTGTTACAACACAACCAAAACCTTGATATGTTTTCTCTCCTCATTTCACACAAAAACAATTTTATTGAAGACAGTAGTTGACAAAACAGAAATTAGTTCTTACATATATTAGAATTAATGCTTACGAGCATGCGACTCCTCCTTTCAGAACTGTTGACTTCAGCCAGTAATGTTCGAGCATCTATTACAGCTTGGTATACACGTAAGCTATGTCCGTCTGACGCCACAAAACATGCACTTGGAGAGTTGGACAAGTTTCCCAAAGTTGTACTGGAAATACAAATTTTAAAAAATTAGTACTAATGAGTATCCTATAATACAAACATTTTTAAAATGACCCACAAAATTATCAGAAATATGTACAAAGCAATCACCTACACACAAATGTAATTCAAATAGGTAGTAACATAAAATAACAAAAAGATTTTGGCTTTAGTCCAAAATTCAAAACAGCATACCTAGGCAAAAGAGTTGGAATCCATGCAACATTGGAAAAGGCAGAAATCTCTGGTGAATTTATGCGGGCAAGTTCACTGACACCCCCAGACCGTGATAGAGGGCCAACAGCATCCACCCGCCATAAGATCAACTCACTGCAGAAACCCTGCACAGAAACCAGACAATCAGAAATAGTAATTTTGGTTCTTCACAATTCAAAGAAATTCGGGTATGTCATTTTTGGAAGTGTCTTTATTCCCTTTGCCTTCACCCTTTCACATCCCTCTTCTTTGCTACTCACTGTGGGAACTGTGACATCTTTGCCGCGACCTGCAGGACTCAACGGAGAACGTGAGGGACTTGCAACAGGGACATCAGAAATATTATGGTGTGAGGTAGTAAGTAGAAGTGGCAATACTGGATGACATGTGATGTCATTTACTCGGAATCGATGACCAGATGCTCGACATGCATGGCCAATTGTGAGAACCTAAAAGAAAACAAAATATACGATCCAATATACTAATAAAATACTAATGGTATTGAAAAATTAATTATATTTTCCTTCATTCTGAAGTTTACTCAATAACCGAAATCAAATAACCTCAATAATCAAAATGACACAATTAACAACTATACCTGTGAAAACTTCGACTTATCAGCAAATGTAAGTTGCCAAAGATTGAGAGTACCATTTGAATGCTTTGTAACCATTGACACTGTTGGAGATGGGTCAGCAGATACTGATCCTGTTGATTTTTGTGATTCATTTTCAGCTGCTGGAGCAGCCTCAGTGGCAGGTGAAACGGCAGTAACTGCTGGCGCTGACGATTGGGGTCCATCTGATCCTTCAACCTCTTCCTGAAAGATGAGAGCAAAGATATCAACTCAAAATATTGATTACTCTAGATTTTTTAAAATTTACTGCACACAACCATTTAAAACTTAATTAAAATTTACTGCTAACATGCATTACCAAGCAAATAAATGAAAATTCAATGTCAACAAGTTGTAAACTTTCACATTTGTTTCTGAAATATCTCAGTTTCCTCTCAATTTGAACTGGTCATTTCTTTACCTGTACACTAGGCAATAAAGCTGTAGCTGAAGGTGCATCTTCCAAGCCCATCACACCAGGCGACGGTGGAGCAGGTGGTGATGTCCCACGCGCTGTACCTAATGTTGCAGCAGCTGGTTCTCGATCACCAAAATGACAGCCATAAGCATTGTAGAGGCAGATGCTAGTTGACATGGTCATCGCATCACCCAGGGGGAATGTAGAAGGTAATCGTGAAGCGAATGACACCTGGGCCTGCCTAAACAAACCTGGATGATATTCATCCAACCATTCTGCCACCCTATAAACACAGAATTCAGAATTACATTCATAAATTCTTGTGTACTAGTTTAAATTGAGAGTAATATATAGTAATATATAGTATATATTGTAATATATATACTATATATATTACAATATATACTATATACTAATATATAGTAATATATAGTATAAACTTGTAGTTAAAGATGGTCAAAGGCCACCTATTCTCTCTTATTCTCTAGAAAGAGAATGCATTCTCAAGAACAATGTAAAGATAACCTCATAGTCAGGCCTAGCAGTCAGATATGCACACTAATGACCTTCAGAAAGATTTGTCACAAACGACGTTATCCATACGGGCAATGGCAGGTTCCCAACAACAGCAAAGCAGAAAATAGCAAACTTTTTTCCAGAAAGGTTGAAATTAAGTGCAGCAAACACCTCTTTATATCATTTTATGTATAGACAAGAAATTCACATTTTTTTTTAGTTTCTTGAAATAAAATAGTGAAATTGATGAAAAGTTAAAACTTTTGACACTAATTCTGATCTGAAATATTTTATTTTCAAATAATTCTAACACCGCTACACATTGAGAAGGGTGGTCCAACGCCTTCAATCTTTGTATTTACCTCTACTACCATAACCACCTATCACCATAATTTTTCACATTGAAGTTAAGATTGAACTTAAATTCATTCAAAAGTAGAAGACCTTAGAAAATTGTAGATGCTACCATATAACTACTTATTTAGCTTCATGCACTTACCAAACTAAGAAACTTCCATCAATGGGGTGGATGGCAAAGAGGAGGTCAGGGTTATGATGCCAGTCTCTCAGAAGGCATTCTATGGCGGCATCAAGAGGATCGGCCAGGCCAGCTCCTGCCCCAGCAGGGCCTGCATCTGTTGCCAGCGAGTTGATGGAAGTTGTAGCACTGCACAGAAAGTCAAACAATGGTCAATTATGAGCTGAAACTAAATTTATTTGAAGAAGCTCACAGAGAAAAAGTATTGAAGAATTCCTATCAGATTAATCAACATAAAAAGGAAAAATAACAAGACTTCACAAAAGCCCAAGTTAGACCATATTACTGGTGAGATAACATGAGGAGAGTGGAGTACATATATTTAGCTGCAACGGGGAAGGTCAAGAAAATTAAGATGTGCAAACCAGGATTCTGTGTAAAAGAGATAAATATTCGAAAAGGAGATTAGATAGAAAAGAATGGGGAAGAACCGGGAAAATATAGAAGAGAGTAAATTTATAAAAATGATCAACAGTTTTACTCACCTGAGGCTTGGATGACTGTGACCACTAGAATGAGCACTGCCATGCTGCTCTTCACTACTCTCATCTTGGGACGCTGCTTTTGCTACTCTGCCTACTCGCTTTCCTGGAAGTCCATTACCACAGAAATAAACTTTCACACTACTTCGGCATAGCCACAACAAAACAAAAAGTGAAAATCACCAAAAAGACAAACAAACATTATGACCAACAGGTTTGTAAAAAGAATACAAATTATTTCAATATTAATTATGGACAGAAAGAACTTCCAATGAAGTGTTTTACATGTTTGTTTATTGATCATATGAGAATATACAAATAAAATTGCTCAATAATTAAAAATTACACATTAAAATTTCTGAAAATTCAGTATTATTTGAAATTCTCAAGATCAAAGCAAAATCTAAGCAATTGTTTACAACAACCAGCACCTCATAATAAATTATTAAAATATGTCCATACTTTCATTTACATCAAAAGCAAGTACATAAAATAAACAACATACGGGGAGAGTGTTCCTCTGGATCAGTATCATTCTGGGAACCTTCATGAACCTCCCGACCAGAGCCATCAGTGCCTGATGCTGCAGCACTTGCCTCTTCCCTTTCCACTTGCTTCCTTGTCATCTCCTATTGACACACAATACAATTATAACCAGGCCAATACAGGGCATCAAAATCTTCATACTACAAATCTATGGTTGAATAAGTACCTCAGTATCCCTAAAAGTATTTTTAAATCTTGTGTCAGAATTTTACCAGAGAAATGTCACATTTAAAAATAAATTTAAAAACTCTCAAATTTCCTATTACTAACATATGACCATTGTGATCAGTTTTAATGGGAGGGAGAAGGAGGTGCGGGGAGAGGGAGGGGCGGGGGAGAAAGCGGGAGGGGCGGAGGTGAAAGAGGGAGGAGCAGGGGAGAAAGAGGGAGAGGTAGGGAAAGACAGGGGCGGGGAGAGGAAAGAGGGCGGGGGAGGTGAAAGGGAGAGGGAGAGGAAAGAGGGAGGGGGAGAGAAAAGAGGGGGAGGAAAGAGAGAGGGGGAGAGGTGAAAGAAAAGAGGGAGACCTACCTTAAAATTCTTTACACACGTACTATATGATGTCAATCTCAAGATTAATAGACAACACAACACATCTTATTGAAACATTGGTGGATGAATTGTGCACCTCCACAAGTACTGTGGTATATTTTACACTTATAATCACTTTCTTACATTCATATCAAGTTAGCAAAAAAGATCATAGAGATTTGGAATAACAAATATAGAGGGATGGTGACAATGTCAGTTACCGTTGTGATATGAAATACAGTATAACCTGCTCAAACAGCCACCTCTTTTAAGTAGTCATCTCCATTATGAGCCATTTTACTGAGTAATTTCATTTTTCCGTAAGACATGTTAAGTATCCTCCAAATTATAGGAGGGTTATATTATAAATCAAGAAAAGTGTTTTACATCCTTCAGTTAAGTTGCAACAAATCTGATATCCACCAGATGCATTTGATGGCAACTGTAATTCTCTTCCCAATGCTAACCCTAAGTCTAAGTACACCAACTGTGTCAACCGAAGTTAGGCACGCAAGCTACGAAAATATATGAAAAGTCAAACCCTTTATGAAGCATTCCTCATAAATAACATAATACAATAACATTTGAAAACAATGTTGAGCTGTAAAGTACAAACATACATTCATTTTAATACTCACGTGTAGCATTGACTCAGCTTGCAGTGAGAAATGCATCTCTTTATTATTCAGCCAATGAAGAACAAAGTTTGGCTCCAAGTCAGGATCTCCTGTTACCAAACTAGGTACCAAAGGAATGTCTAAAAAAGAAAATATGAATGTTTTCCATATAATAACTGCAACTAATGTCCTCATAATAATGCCAGTAATATACATATTATTAATCTCTATGACTTTGAGTTATACACCTTCAACAGAAAGGAATTTAATTCCTATATAGTTGTTGGTGGGAGTAGCATAAGCTGCAGAGTAAATTGGAATAACGAATATAGAGGGATGATGACAATGTCAGTTACAATTGTGATAGAAATACAGTAAAACCTGCTCAAGTAGCCACCTCTTTTAAGTAGTCATCTCCATTATCAGCCATTTTACTAAGGGACTGATTGGTTTTCCTATAAGACGTGTTAAGAATCCCTCATTTGAGCGACTATCTGGTGACCCCATGGCCATTGGCCAAGCACATTTGGTAGATTAACTTTTATTAAGCAGTCACTTCCAGCATTATTAAACTGTAATAAAATAAGAAGCAGATGAGCAGTTTATGTACTATTGATGCAATATCTTCCTGCAATGAGACGTATTGTCAGATTACTTAGAACTATGGCATAGGTGCTCATCTGGCAAAGGTTTAATTTCTGTTTAAGGCAGAATAAATGATTTTCATGAAATGCCTACGAAACAACACTTCACTTCATTTCTTCCGGAGCTCTCACATGAAATTTGCTAACCTCTCCTTCCCCTCTGATGGCTAGCAGAGTATGCCACAAGCACAAAATCAATCTGGAGTTCTTTCGGAAACAATGTATTCTGTGAAACAGCTCTACCTACAAAAGAATTGCTGTTTTGAAGTCTAGTTTGCTAGTGAGTTAGGTTCAGGGGGAATGGAAAGTGCATTTCATGAGGAGATGGATGTTTGTCACTTCCCAAGAGAAGGCAAGTTATTTTACAAATCAAGAAGTTTCAACCAATGCACGTCCTAGCATTTTGAAGTGCAATAGGTCACAAATTTAATAAAAATCATTAAAAAAACAACACATTTTGTGAAGTTTTTAAACCTAAGCAACTAGAGAGATGTAAACTTTTCTAAACTAACAACAGATTTTCTTTTTTGTAAAAAGTTAAATCCATGCAATAACAGATTTCCTTGTATCTTATAATTCATGAGTAGTTCTTGATTAAGTTGAATTTTGTAGTTTTAGGTAAAATAATTAAAATGCTTTTACCAAAAACATACTTTATTTTAACACAATTCTAACAATTAGACCTGATCTAATAACCTGTAAACTCTTAACCTTATTTAGAAGGACATCTCCTTTTAATGGCCAAATTTGCCAGCATATTAGTAGCCACTTATGACAGGTTTCACTGTATGTGTTCGTGTAAGTCACATATGATCAATATGATCATACTTTGAAGCAAAAGTGGAAGTGGTAGTAATGAGTCGTAATAGTAGCAAAATTAGTGTTAATTTGGAATAGAGATTCAAGATAAACTTGGGATAGGATCAGGTTGAACTTTTTTAATAGATTCAGGCAACTTAACATAGATGAAGAAATCTACATTACCACTTTAGATTTCTTCACTCATTAGAGTGGTGCATGCATGTCAAGTGCTATCAAGCACATGACAGATCAGATTTGATTTGTTTTAGTCAAAGTATCCAAGAACCGTAAGAATGCTTAAAAAAGCAGCATAAGACATGCACAAAACACATTTAGAGAATATTTCAGCATTTTCAAATTATATTTCATTCATTGCTTTTTTTTTTCTTTCTTTTTTCTACATTGGTGGCAGGCCTTGCTCAATTTAAGTGTCAATTTCTATGCATTGAAAGCCAGAACTTGAATCAGATACTTAACTACAAATAGCCTAATCAGAGTTAGCAATTTCTTCAAAAAACAAATCGCACACCAACTTACCCCAATGACAGTGGAGTATGTTGGCAATATGATTTACCATTGGCAGTATGTTGGCAATAATTGGACCATGGTTGTGACCATAATATGGTCACAATAACTAAATAATGACATAAACAAAAGTCAACTTTTTTGACAATACCCTACAGCTTTGAGACATATCTGCTTAACATTTATTCTTAATTAAAGCTGTATGCTGAATTCAAAAATAGTGTATTCGACATTTCTCTTCAATTTTAGCACTTTTAGTAAGAAAAATAAGCGAATAAAGGAAAGAAAAACTAAAGAAAAATCTGCTATAATGCAAACATCAAAGTTTCACTGCAACTACAACTTACACTGTTGCAAATAATTCCAGTACATTAACTTACAAAAAAAAAACAACAAACAAACAAACAAACTTTAAAAAACTACCAGTTTTCTGATTCAACATTTCCATAAAAAAACGAGAGGATTCAAGTACACTTAAAAATGAAGAAAATGCCAAACTATCTACTTATTTCTTTAATACTGTTACATCATTTGCCTGAAAAAATTTCAACAAAAATGTATGGTTTCAAAGGTCCTGCCCATGATATTTTGAGTGTCTGACGCATCTAAACCATAAATGTTAGGAAACTGTAGATCCAGGGTCTGGTGATAATCAATGGGGGGAAATTGTCTTACCAGTCTCTGCATTGATGCTAGCAGCCAGATGAAAGTGTAGGCCAGGAGTGAGCCCTGTACCATGGTACCCATAACTATGGAAGTCGTGGACACTGTATGTGGAAGGCAGAGTGGGAATTGGTGCAGTTATTCCCCCTAATGTGCCAGCACCAGAGGGTTGCTGACTTTTTGCATGTCGACGGATGTGGAAGCATGTCCTGGCATTCAAAGAACACAGTTTTTATCTTTTCACAAATATAGATTTCATCTCTAATCCTATCACTTATGTTTGTTTTATTAATAACAAGTAGCAGGCATGTTCTCAGTCATATTATTATGGCAAGCAATAGGTTAAAGTCAAGCACACAATCCCATTCACTAGCAATCAACAGCATTCAAAATGAATAGAAAATATACAAACTTACTTCATGTGCCGAAGACGTTGCAAGAACCTATGCTTATGTCTGTGTGTGCGAAATTTTGGATTTTGTGTTGCACGAGGATCAAATTGGTTCATGTTCACAAGTCCATCTTCTGGCAAAACTGTCTCAACCCACACACGACAGATGTTGTCTCGACAGGATGTTACTAACATATTGGAAACTGCCCCCCTAAAAAGAAATCTTGCATGCATTTGGTAACCAAATAAACTTGCACATAATAAGAACTAATGAAATCAGAATAGAAGAATTAAAATATAATAACCTCATCGAACAACAGATTGGATAAATAATTGCAATAGGCTTATCATTTCATTTACTATAAAAAAAATGAAAGTTGAAACTTAGCCAACTTCTTATTGTAATTTAAAAAATTATAACTATTGATTCAGGTTTTTACAGTGTGAAACAAGAACTGAAGGTTTTTACCATGCCTTAGATTAAAATAAACACACAGTATGTTTTGCATAAAGATTTCTTTTCTGCTAAAGATAATTTTTGCTCTACATAAAATTACACAGAATTAAATTACTTACAATAATTTAAAGATCAACAGAAAAGTTTCTCAGTGAAATAATATTTCCAATGCAATTATTTTAAGATTACAGACATGTGAAAAATATTTTGATGTGGATTTCAATATTTTATTTCAGAACAAAAATAGATAAAAAACTAGCATTGAAAAGTATTTGATATTCGTACTTAGGCATGTATTTGCTTGTTTTTCGCCATGATAGATGAGTTACTGCTCGGGGATGAGCAATATACACAAAACCATAATTTATTTCATTTATTGTTGACTGGCCCCCTCCAAAAGACATTGAATGATCCAGACTTTTTGATGGGAACAACACTAAAAAAGGACAGGTAACAAACTGTAAATAACTTATTCTTTAAAGGAATAATATTAGTGAATATATTACTGAACTTGAAACAAATTTGAAACTCACTTCTTGACATTAATACATTTTAATCTATATATTTATACAACATAACAAATGTAATGTAAATGCTTAAAAATAGATTCTGAAAAACTGACAATCAAAACACAAACTTACATTGCTTGTTTTCATACCAAATCTTTACTAATCGGTCAGAGCGACCCGCTGTGGCGAAAAGAGTGCCATCAGGGGAGAATGCCATATACACAACTGGTGTAGCAGTATGGCAACGCCAAACACAAACCCAACCTGGTTCTTCATCATCCTCTGCTGCAGCTGTAGAGTCTTCACCAATCTCAAATGTGACACCTCCCGTACCTGGAACTAATACCAATCATTTTTTATCACCATAATTACATGTACAAAAATGACATTCTTAACTCAAATTTTTATATTTCAATTATTTGCAATATTTACATCCAGTGAAAATTGTTTTCATTAGAATGTTACTTGAGTTAGGAATGTCACTGAACCCTCATTAGAGGGTTTATAGTTGATTTAAACTACTGAGATACCAATTAATTAATAGAATTAATCGAGATTGAAAATCAATCCCAAACACAAATGATATTCCATTGACTAAACAAGTTTGTGTGCGCGCGCGCGCGTGTGTGGGTGTGTGTGAGTGTGTGCGCGCGCACGTGTGTGTGTGCGCGTGCGTGTGTGTGCGTGTGTGTGGGGGGG